CCAACTAACTACTCCAAGGTAGTTGCTTTAACGAGTCTAATATTATCATGGAGGTTTAATTATTTTAAATTATGGTTTTTTTTTTTATTCATCTTGCAGAGCATTTCAGAATTTAGTGTCGCCAAGGTTGCCTTCTCAAGCCATCGCTGTAAGTTCTTCTTACTCCATGTACATATAAAAAAAAAAACTCCACTCTTGATTTCTTGATGTATAAGTTAGTTCATTTTTTCGAATTCGTTGTTCTGTTTTTGTGTCCAAAGTTATCTCCTCTCTGGGATGTCGACAAGGCCAAGTGCAGCAATGGTTGGTCGATGCCTAAGGTCAATTTTGAAACTTCATGCTTTCATGTTCATGAACACATCTTAAATATAAATGCGAGCTCATCAATTCATGGTGGTTCTGGATTTTCAGTCTAACGAGGAACTGAGGAGGGAAATTACAGAGCTTGAGACAGAGATCTTACAGTTAGAACGGTATATCTTGTCGCTCTACAGAACATCCTTTGGAGATCTTTTGCCTAAATTGTTACGGGATGATTCTTTGCGGTGTCTAAAGACTCGTCCATTGAAGCCATTCACGGCCAGATTCCGCAAAGACCGTGTTTCCTCGTTTTCTGAAACGGTGAATGATCTTAATTTTCATATGCACATACTGATGTAATTGTAGTTTTCTGTTTTTAATATTCGTTTGCGACTGTGAAACGTTTCAGGAGAAGGAAAAAAGATCCGAGTCTGGTAACCCGAGTTTGGCTGATCTTCTTGGTCTTAACACTCCCAATAAACTCTTTGAAGAGTATTAAGCCCACATGACTCAAGTCTACAATCCCATCATTTTAATCCATGTAACTAGGTCTTAAACAAGTATCCATATAAATGTCTGTTATAAAGATCATTGTAAGTTGCTTAAAGAAGCAACTCCTTCCCCTTTTTATGATTTAACCAAAACATTACTAATATTGGTGTTCTTCAATTAGTCTTTCTCTTCTCTTTTATTTTCTAGCACAGTAAAGCTCAATGAACTATTTCAGTTTCCATATATGTCTTTTATATCTTCCACTAAGCTGAGCATATCTAAGCTTGTTTTGAATTTGCTTACAAAGAGATCATGAGACTTATATGTGTGATACACTTCAGACAATGGACATAGTAGATTGGTCAAGAACTCAAGGATTGAAGATATCAATTATGACTGTGGACAGGAACTCGGAGTGATAAACTATAAGCTCTGCCTCAAAGAGGCTAATTTGTACTCGGTAGAGGGAATTTTCAAAATTTCAGGTGAGATTGAGCCGTATAAATAACACTTAATTACTTGATATAAGATTTTTAAAGTGGCTCACAACTTTTAGAACTGAATACACGCAGATGATTGGTTCAAATCTTGAAAAAGTTGATCCTAATTCGATCAACTGAGTACGATCTCAATCATCTATATTTGCATTTTGTTTGTTGTTCAGTGTAATTATGAACATTGTATTGCGACAACATATATATCATTTCCACCGCTATATTTGAATCAAGAATCAAGAACCTTTATTTGTGTCGACCTTTTCCAATATCGGAAGGAAGTTAGAGCGTAAGGGTTCCTGCAAATATTTTAACAGTGCAT